AAAAAAAAAAAAAAAAAAAAAAGTGCCTGAGCAAAGCGTGTAAAACGTTTGAGCAACAAGGCTTTGCTCAGTTTTCACATTATTTGTGTGGAAGGCCATGGCATTAGAGTTTTCTTGCAAACTAACTGGCCGTTATTTCACCAGCCAGCAAGAAGAGACAGGAACCAACAGCACCGGAACAGCCTCCCCAAAAGGGGCAACGCTGAGTTCTGCGCATGAAGAACAGTAGCCCAGAAACAAACAGATTTAATAAKAAGAAGAAAGTCGAGAACGCGCCTCGTCCCTGAAGCGCCGCGAGCGCAGCCGCGTCGCTGCGGCCGCCCCACGCCCGGGCGCTGCTCCCGTTTTCTGTCCGGGCCCCCCCGCCAGCCTTCGCGGCTCCGGGGAGGCCAGTGCCCAGCGCCACCGCCGCGCTCACCGTGCGCGACGCTCCCAACGGCTCCACAAGCTCCCAACGGCTCCACAAGCTCCCAACGGCTCCACAAGCTCCCAACGGCTCCCGGCGCTCGAATTTTGGCGCCCAACAGAAGGATGGCCCCCTTCGCGGCTGTCCCGCGCGCTGCCTGCCTCGAGCGGCGAGGCTCGCCCAGCCTACCTCCACCGTTGGTGAAGCAGAAAGAGCGAGACCCGTGCGAACCTTGAATGAGGAAAATATACCTCCTGATGCGAGGGCCTCGCCGGTCGCGGGTGGCGCGTACAGTCAATTCGAGACAGGCAACGTGGCGGGACGGGCGCTCCGCGGAAGGCCCCTCCAGGGGGGACAGGCGGGGCTGGCGGCCGTTAGGCGCCTGAGGAGGCGGCGGCCATGGCGGGTGGATCGTTGTCTCCATCTCCGCCCCCGCTGCTCGTGGGCGGCGCTGCCTCGGGCGCAGTGAGAGAGCCTGGAGGAGCGGCGCTGTGCCCCGGGCTAGGGCTCCGACGCGAGGCAGCTCGTGCAAACGCGGTGTCTTTGTTTGGGGAGCTTTAGGTATGGTGCCTTCCCTCCCCCCTTTTCTCCCTTAAATTTTGCCTGTTTAGGTTTGAGAAAAGCTGTCTGAGCGGCCCGCCATGGCCATGGCGACGGAAGCAGGCGTGTTGAAGCCAAAAAAGTGTGTTGCTCTGGGCACGTCTAAAGGAGAAAATAGAAGAATCAGCATATTAAAGTCCTTCGGGTATTTTTTTTTTCTCTCAGTAGGGAGAATTTGAGACTTTTGGGTAGGTTCCTAAATAATAAGGAACACAAAGCAAACTCCCAAATTACAGAGACAGGGAGCTGGGGAGTTAATTTCCAAAGGCCCTTCCCCGTTCAAGGGAAACTTAACAAGGACATGGAAGATTGGCAGCTGACTTACCAGCGGCTGTGAAAAGGCAAAACCGAGCAAGTACTGCTCTGTTAAAGCCAAACATGGCTTTAACATCTCGTACTTGGATCTTTAGAACTGAGTGTAGTGGGTGTTTTTTTAATCTAAGTAAAGGAAGTATCAGTAACCCATATGTGCAATGTCGGGCAAGTGCAGGAGCAGTTGCTGTGATGTGACAGTATTGATAACCTAACAAAATGAAAAAAAAGTTCAGTTCTGATACTACTAGGGGATAAAAAGGGGAGAAAATGCCAGTYCAGCTAATTTGTTGTGATTTAAGAGGTGCTTTCCTTTAAGGAGAAAGGAGCCTATTCAGAATAAAAACACAAAAAGCAAAAAAACRCCATCACTACCAAAAGCAAACACMTTTGAAGGTGCATTTTGTTTAAAGAACAGCAGGTGTCGAAAGCTGCATTGCTCAAAGGAGATAAATACCTAAACCAGGGAATGCCTTTTTTCTGTGTTGACGGAGTTATGCTCTGTGCTTAAATCAGTTTTTTTGGCAGAGGATGTTATGAATCTCACTATCAATTTTGTCTTGAGAGGTAGTGTTGAGATCAAAACAGCGGTCGTGGTTGTACTAAATTGTCTGTTCTGAAGGCAAAGGTAATGTTAATATTCATTTTATTTTCTTGAATATTCAACAGGTGTACATTATAGGGAAACGTGATTTTTTTTGCATGCCTACTCTATTTCTGTTGCAGCTTAGTTTCTTTATCTATAAGCACTAATGTGACAKCATTGCTTCTGGTGGGACTAGATAGGAAGCACTTATGGATGCTTCTCACCTGCTAGCATGTGGCTATCCTGCTAAAAAAAAACAGAGTGGCACTTTTAAATTGTGCRTTCATTATTAAATAGCACTTTTGTGGTGATTTGCAAACCATTCATAGTCTGGGCAAAAGCCATTTCCAATGTGCAGCAAACAGACTTACACATTTGATGCCTGAGGCCAAATGGCTGCCTGATTAATCACTACGAGAAGTAGGTCCTTGGCAGGTGACAGGGAATGTGCTTTCAAGGGCAGAAATGATCGCTGATAAAAAGACTGTCTCAGCTGACTGAGGAGCCGGTGCCTTCGTGGTTCTGCCTACTGTCTTAACCTACCAGATTTTCTACAGCCTGTTATAAAAAATAGGAATGAAGAGTTGTTTCTGAGATGAGAGGCTTTCCTCTGTGAAGTTAACAAATATGTATGATATGTATATGTGCGGGGGGGAGAGGGGGGGATGAGAGGAGGGAGAGTACCTACTTTTGTCATGTGGCTACATGACAGCTTTATAACCTGAAAACCAGAAAATTGGTTCTGCTGTAAATGTTGGGATTCAGCAAACTAAAAGTCTACTGCACTTGTATGTTTAATTAAGGTACACATTTGGATTGCAACTCTGGCAAAGTATGTAAGTTGAAGTTTCATAATGCCAAAGGGTAGGGAAATACTTGTTTTCACTGTATCYAGTAAATGGACATCTGCTCTGAGTGATCTGATCTAAGTGAGATCATAGAGAAATGGAACATGATAATGATTTACTAAATGTCTGAATAAGTTGAATTTAACTCACATGGTTTTGTAAAAGTTTCACTTATGCTTTCATATCCACATTCTCAAAAGCAGCAAGATGAGTATACCAAAGTGGGAAGGTGACCTGGGATGCAAAGATAGCTGCAGGGGAGGCCCAGGTAGGATTCTTGGCAAGACTGTGCAGTTACTTTTTGAGGTTRTGTTACAAGTGCCAGTGAATCCCATGCTACCGTTATATCAGTAAACTACTTAAAACATTGTTTGATTTCATGTACGTGAACCACGTATTCTGTGGAACAGGGCTGCTGGTTTCTCTGACATTTCATTAGTGGACATATGGCTTTCTGAAATGTTCTTGTGAGCTTTCACTTTCTTGCTGCTCTTTCTCCGCTTCACTGKTCCCATCCAAAGCCTTGAAAGAAGAAGGAAAAGATGCATCAAGTGACTTCTCCTGGTGGTGTTACAGTTTCCCATTATTTCTCTCTGGCTTGGCTGACTGCCTCTTAATTGTGCATGAAGTGCTGGTCTCTGTATTTTGAGGTTGGTGCCTTCCATGGGCTAGGGCTCT